AGCTCTGTTTACACCAAACCTGCTGCAGTCCTGAATGGTAGCAATAAATGGAGTGAGCTAATGCGTTAGTGACAAATAACTGGTTCAAACAATTCAAGCATAATTATAGGCTGGCTCTCCTGATGTAACGTTGGGTACATCACTGCAGATATTACATTCACCTTATGAAAAGATTGCACAGAGGAGCGCAGTTGGTAACCCAAACAGCATTATACATCACGAGCCTGTCAGCATCAGGAGTGCATGCACCCTGGCATTTGAAGTCCTGGTGTTTTAAGTGATAATCCAATGTACCAGGCATCATTGATCTCTATATAAAAGGGGCCACCACTTTTCCTTTCAACTGGAGCTATTTTTCATTTCTCATCCTGAAGAGTTGTGTGGTGCTGCCCGCAAGTGGCTACACTGCACAGCAGCTCTATCTGTAGCACTCCGGGTCCCTGGAGAGAAAAAATGATCAATACTCCAATGCTGCTTTTGTAAGAGGTGTCTAAGTGCTTCCACGCGAGATGCTGCTCCTCTGGGTTTAGAAATTACTCTGAAGAGAACATGAAAGCCCCCACTGCAAATTCATAATCCTGACACAAACCCCAGGTGCAGCAAGGAATTAAAACGAAATTCATTGGCGAGCTGCAAGCTGGGCTGTCAGGAAAGGTGGTGTCTGTGATGTGAGGAAGGGACCTCAAAAAGAGACCAGTATCTGGAGGCTAAGGGAGCAGGAAAACCATGTTAGAGGAGAACCAGCTGGGGACAAGGAAACGCCACAATGCCCTACAGATATGGCCCACGTAACAGGATGAATCTTGACAGGGATTTGTAGCTCCTCGGAGGGTCTGAGATGGCAGGGACCCTGAGCACTGCATCACCTGAGAAAGGTGACAGCAATCAGATGGTCTCGGGAGGGAAGACAAAGGCATTTGAAGGGTCAGACTTGCTGTGGGTAGGTGAGCAGAGCCTAGGAGGTCTTCAGAGAAGTGTCTGGACAGCGACAGTGAACGCAGAAAACAGACTGAATCTTCTATTTCTTGGATACAGCCAAAAGATACTAAACTTCTCTCAATTAATTTCTTCCAGGGGGATCTCACGTTGGCTTTGGTTCTTCCTGCACGTGGGCTGGAAGAAGTCTTTCATGATCATCTGTAACCTTTATTCATCTCATCCTTCCCACTGCCTGGCAGCCCACAAGAGCAGGACCAGCCGTGCCGGGCAGGAGGGCTTCAGAGCAGGCAGCCGGCGCTTCCTCAGCACAGCCAGTATCATATTCCTAGATCGGGGACTGATGAATGCATGTTGTAAAGTGGGATTCATGAGCCATTGTGGATGTGAATGGCCCTGATGGTCTTCCACTGCCTGGCTGGGTTTTGCAATTGGATCCTGTGCAGGGCCAGAGAAACCCAGCCTGAGCAGAAGCAGCAACAGAAAGCCAGTCCCACCCTCATCACCCAACTTGTGCTGCAGTCGCACCGCGGGATGGCTGGCAGGGCTGTCCTCTCCTGGATGTGACTGCCCTGGGGCCACGTGAAGGCTGACAATATGCTCCTGTCCTGAATGTCACCCAGCACATGTCACTGGCCATCCCCATGTCATGGCACAGCGCTCCCGTCACAGGACAGCCGTCCCACAGCAGCCTGGTGTTCGGTCGATTATACTGACTGATCCCCATTAGGGAGAATTTAAGTAACATGGCTTAAAAATGAGAAAGTAGACTGCTTGTTTCTGCATGAGGCCAAGTCATTTCCTCTGGGGTCAGGAGGGACTGAAGGGCTGGGAAGGGTTAGCAGCCAAGGGGAGGTAAGTCTCAGGGTCTGAGCAGGGAAGAAGTGATGTCCCCCGGTCTCAGCCCAGTGATCGCAGGGGCAGTGACAGCCTCTCTCCTCCATATGGCTCCAAGTACACCACTTGGATTGCTACTGGGGCTATCAAGTGCCATCAGATACCAGTATATTATAGCAGGGAGTGGAAAGGTGAGCAGCTGGCTGCTCAGCACCTCTTCTGCTCTCAATCCAAGGCTCCCAAGGCTCCGCTGAGTCCGGTCTCCCCAAAGTGCTCGGCACCCAGCGTGCAATTGCGGAGCAGGCACATGGCGAGTGCTGCGCCTGTGAGTGCTGCGGCAGGCAGGCAACGGGAAACTGCCAGGAGGGGGCAAAAATTCTTTGGCAGGGTTTTATCATTTTAAAGAGAACAAATTCCAATTGATTGCCCTTGTAAGAGTCTGCACGGTACTCGCACTTCTGGCCTAAGCAATAGAAATTTTAATTGCTCTGGTAATTACACTTTCAGTAATGCTGCGGTCCTTTGTTCTGCAAGTGGGACGCCAGTATCTGCTGTTCTCCGGTGGCCCCGTCTGGCAGCAGCTTGGAACAGCATTTGCCACTCGGAAGGGAAGGGACACTCCTCCGGTGACCAGGGTGACACTGAGCCTTGACACGCACAGCCCTGCTCACACCGATCTCTGGAGCGTCGGGCACACTCCCCAGGCCAGAATGGGTTCCCATCGACCAGGATCACATCAGCTTCCTCCTGTTAAAGCTGCTGCTCAAGAGCTTCACACACCTGCGCTCCTGCCGCGAGTCTGTCCCCGGCATTGGTCCCATCCCCGGCATCGGTCCCATCCCCAACGCTCTGCCGAGGATGCTGGGCTCTGGCGTGCACATTTCCAGTCTTCCCCATGCGTGAGCGTGCAGTGCGTCACCAGCATTTCTTCTCCGGGCTGTAAACGGCTCCAAAACGTGGTGCAGACACAAACGTTACTTTGCTTTATCTTCTAGAAACATCTTTAGAAGGGTGCAGAAGAGCTGTTATCCCCTTGGGTCCTGACAAGTACTGTTAAAGCTTGACTAGGCTTGGGAGAACACAAGGCCTACAACTTACCAGGGAAATTGCTAAGGAAAAATTATCATGACGACTGCCATGCTATTGCATAGATAACAAATTAACCCTACGAAAGGTCTGGTGCTTGAGAAGTACGGTCTCTGCTTGGCTGCGCAGCAGCCACGCCTGGTGCTTCACTACGCTATTCAAATGCAATGCTCCGTTCCCAATAAAGCTGCAGCGCACATGAGCTCCTCCAAAATCACCCAGGGTACAACCAGAACTGAGCGCGCATTTGGGTCAAGGGCACTTTACCTGCAAGAATATATCAGCCACAGCACAGCCCTTCATGCTTCAGTTCACTGGCCAAGGATTGTTGGAGGCGCTGGGCTGCATGCACAGGATTTAGGAGGATAAGCGTGTGCGCAAACTGAGCGAGGCTCTCCCTAGGAAATGGGATCCTGCTCCCCCCAGGTTGGTCAAGAAAGCTATAAAATACAAAGCACGGGGCCCCGCAGGGAGGTATAATTGCAGTTTGGATCTGTCAGACACGCACAAAGTCTGGGTTTACTTGCAATCCCTCTCATCCTGCCTGCACCGTATTTTTCCAACCCATGATCCCGGCTGGCATGGCTCGGGGTGGCTCGGCTCCCACGCTTGCCAGAAATGCAGGTCACAGCCATACATCTCTAAATCAACAGCTGCCAACATGCTGCAGCTACTTTGTCACATGCTGGACCACTCACAGCTAAAAGCAAGGCTTCCAAGCGGAATTGCTATTGGCCTTAGCGCTTAAACAAAATAGCTCCACTCCCGTCCCTGGAGTTTCCTCAAACAATGGCACAAAACACCCACTGGAGCCCCGGGAGAGGAGTGTCTGTGGCAGAAGAAAAAAGTGGTTGCTGATTTTTGAGATATACGCCACACAATTAGAAACACTGGATCCATAAACATCCTTAACAAACCCCAATAGGTCTGGGGGTTTTCTTTTCCTCGCTGTCCATTGTGTGCTGCTGCCTTTAAAAACCTCAAAAACAAATGCTCTTCCCTTGTTGATTTTATGCTTTGGTGCTGAACTGCACGTTTCCCTGTTAGTTTGGTCGTCCTGGAGGTACCAACTCTGCTCAACCATGCCTCTGGGGCTGGGATAGTTGGGATGGGACTGTGTACCACATGCTAATCACCCATCCACAGGTGGGAAGGATTCTCCCAGAAATTATGTCCCTTCTTGTTTAAACATTGAAATTTCTCAGCATAGAACTGGGTAGGTGCTGTTTGCAGAGGTTCCTCTTCTTTGTTGGGACTGTTCTTGTCAGTGTTTCAGCGGAGATCTAATTACAGGCTGTTCTGTTCATTGACAATTTCATATACCCTCCTTTTTTAGGTTAACCTTCAATAACTGGCAAGAAGTAGAACTATATGGGTGGAGGTAACAGGCTATGGATTTATGACATGCTGGTATTCAGGCAAAGTAACCCAGTATGAATACAGAAATATCCTGAACTGTGCTGCTGCTGTCAATTTGATAATGAGAATGTGATTTGAAATAAAAACATCTTGGGTGCCAATTCACTACAGCAGCTAGTAAAAATAGGCAGAATACCTAGAAATTGAGGACTCTGTGCTCCAAACACTTCCAAAGCTTGAATGTCATACAGTACCTTAAAAAGCAGAGTGCGTGGCTGCACTGGGGCTACAGTACCACAAATGAAAGGCCACTCAGTGAACCCACACGTGAGTTTTAACAGACAGACTCGGGTGCTGTGTGTCTCTAGCTGAGCAGAGGCGAGGGCTGCCCTCCTTGGTGCTCTGCAGCCTAGGGATGCTTACCCCCAGCCCATGCTCCCAGAGTCAGCCCAGCACAAAACACTGCAGGGTCTGAGCTGCAAACACCCCTGGGTTAAGCCCGGGTGAGTTCTGCCAGCGCCCGTGGTACCCAAGAGCCAGCCTTTTAGTCAAATAAAAGCAGCTTTTAAATGCTGCAGAAAAAAGGGGGCTGCAGGGCCTCGTGCATTTTAAAGGATCTGGCCTTTACAGGAGCTGTTCCCAGTTTCAGGTCAAGCCTGAAGCCTGCTTTAATCTACTTTTAAGTGGTACAAGCAGTTGTGATCCCTCTGCCAGAAGGCAGGGCAGTCTCCTTTCAATGCACCTTCCCCTATCTGCTGTGTGCAATCTTCCACAGGACTTACTTGTTGCTGTCCCGGTACTGATAGATATAACAGCCTTGAGGCATCCCACTCTCCTGGTCCAAGGTAAACGACAGCTTCAGCTGCAGAGAGGAGAGGGGGTCGGGGAGAATAAAAAGAGAGAGAGAGGAAAAAAAAAGCAACACTTTAGGCTCTCAGTCATCACAGCAACTTCAAGCAAGGCTTGTGGGAGAAAGCTTCACTCACCAAGACTGACACGCAAACACCGTGGCCTGGAACATAACGTGAGGTTCCAAACCTCAGGGAAAAGTCACATGCATTGCAGAAACCTCTCGCTTTTTCCACCCTTTGTTAGTATAAAGTGTTTGTGGTTCTTCTGAAATGCATGGGTCATAACGGTTTACCCCTCCAAACCCACCCACACACACCACCCTTCACCAAAGCGATTGCGGTTCCCCTCAGACACTAAAGAAATGAGTCTTCTCCATCGGCAGCTGTAGTTCCCACGAGTCTTTCTCTGAAAACTTTCCCGGCTTCATCTCGTTTCTCCAGTGCATTAGAAGAGAGAAGAAACCACAGAGGGAAAGGTGACAGATTTTTCCTTCTGTGCAGAGTTATTAAAGAGCTGTTAGAAAGGTTTGCAGTTTGGACCCGCGTCCGGCAGGAGGCTATGAAGTGACCTGGAAGCAGCTTTCTTTGCAGCTCCAAGAAGGCGTTCGGCAAGGGCTTTCAGATTTCAAACACGGCTCATTTTATTTAAGGGGGAAAAATTAATCCTCTTTCAACAAGCAACAGAACGGTTCTGCGGGAAAACTTCTTTGCTGAAAATGTCTCCATTGATTTTATACTCTGAACTGCCTAGAAAACAGCACAAAGCTGAGCCCTGCAACAGCCCTGAATATCCGAGTAGCCTCTCATTGCCCAGGGGAAGGCTGCTGGCGCCCAGACCAGTGTCCCACCAGCTCCCACAGCCACGAGGTGCAGCCGCTCTACTCTGCAAAAGGGCTGCAGACCCTGACCAGGAGCCAGCAGGCTGGGTAAGAGGGGCAGCATCCTTCAGAGGAGGTAGCTGCGGTCTTAATGCACTGAGCACGGGGTCACACAGATTACTAATAGCAGGGCTGTTACCACTGCTGGATCATACAGGAATCTTGAAACGGTCTGGGAAGATCATCGCAAGGGCTAAAAGTCGAAGGAGGTTTGTTATGATGAGCCCGACCTTTTTAAATAGGGAAAGGAGGAGAGAGCAGTGTTGAGCCACTCCATTTGATCACAGGCTCCTCTCCTCTAGGCTGCAAGGAAATTGCTAACTCAAATTAACGACTTATTCAGGAATGAACATAGAACTAAAACATCTTTCTCCTGTAGGTTGTTAAGAAACCTCATGTGCTGAATCATGAGGGGGTGCACTGATTTTCCCTTCCCTAAAGGGTCGCAAAGTCATATGCTGTGCTCTCAGTGACCCAAATAAAACCGCATACCAGAAATCATCGAAAAATTCACCATCTTGGATACTGAGTTAAGAACCAAGTATCAGGTTGAGGCCAAATCCAGCTGATCTCCCTTGATTTCTATACCTGTAAATCTGTAAGCCATTCTGAAACACACACTCCTGCAACAGCACGTACACGTGTCCATGTTTTGCGTGTGTCCGTGGTACATGTATCACAACTCATATGGCTGTCCGGACAGCAACCTCTTACGCTCTCCACAACTCCCCCTTCCTGCAAGCTCTGATCTTACTACAGCTTAGTAGATGACTCACATCCATTTTGGAGACCGGTGTCTAAGGCAGGACTAGCAGGGCTAGCTGGGGACCCTTCTTCTGGCCAAGATCCACAAAGCCTCTCCAGATGCTATGATGGCACATGGCAGCTACCCCACGGGAGCAGGAGGTCAGCAAGAAACAAGCAATCTCCCCAAGGGAGACAAGCGATCACCTTGCTGGCTATACGTCCATAACCAGGGTCCTCCCAAGTGAGCTGCCCTGGTTTGGGGAATTGAAGGAGGAACTGGGAACTGCTCAAAGCCATTTTTCTGGGTCAGGTTTTCCAAAGCTTTCCTGCTAGAATATCAGGAAGCATCTCCGAGGTGAAAGAGACAGTAGTTATCTCAGGCACATCTCCACCTAGTCCTGTGCTTTGAGGAACAGGCGCCGTGTTGCAGAATCACCAGAGAAGAAACACAAAAGAAAGTGCAAAATTGATCAAAAGTGTGGCTTTGGCCACTTTCAACAATAACTCCGATCAGGACAAACTCAGGAGCGCCTGAGCCTCTTGTTTGCAGCTCTCAGCTAAGCAGGCTTTGGGCTTGCAGTAACTGAGCATCTCTGGTTACAGCTCATCTGGGCTCTGGGTCCCCAGCACCGCTCGGGGCTGGAGCCGGCTTGGTGCAAGCAGACAAGTGCAGGGGAAGGGAAGGAAGGAAAAGGGCTGGGAAGGAAAACAGCCCTGTTTGGACAGGCTGCTGGGGAAAGCTGTGGGGCAATCAGGTATGGGAGGGTGACCTTTCCACTATCTGGGGGGACAGGGTCCCATGGAACCTGCCTACCCAAAAAGGAAAGATCACAGTTCCCAAAGATAACGGGTTTTCAACTTTCTGTTATTTTAACCCTTTTTTGTCTGCTCATGGTATTCCAGACAAATAAAACACACCCTGCTTGGCAGGCTCAACTGTCTCTGCTACCCGTCAGTGCCAGCAAGGCCTGCGTAATGGGGACTATACATGGCTTGACCATCTGGGGCAATACTGTCAGGCAAGAGCATGCTGCTGTCACCCACAGTGACAAGAGGACCCCACTCAGAGAACAGTCAGGGTCAGGCTGTCACACAGAGCGATGTGTAACTAAAGGTCTGTCCCAGCAACCATAGCTCAAGGCAGCCATCCTGTCACTGATGCACAAATCTCTGCTCTTCTGCAGATCTGCCCTGTTGATGCACTGTCATGGCCAGTCAGGAGGGGAAGAGGGGACCTCTGATTGTCACTCAGGCCAGGAGTCCTTACAGACCCTGAATGAACAGCCAGGCTCTGGACCAGCAAAGCTCTGGCTGTCTTTGCTCATTTGGTGGCATTTGTCCTCTGCAGCAAGCATGGAGCCTCCAGGCAAAACTCAACACAGGGCGGAAAAAGACTAGGTAAGGCAGGCAGAGAAGGACTAGCTGAGCGCTGCCAGGAGGCACACTAGGACGCAGAGACTGCAAGTTTCCTACTAAGCTTGAAAAGGTTGTCCACAGTCACTCAATACCATGTAGTTGGGTCCTCTCTGCCATTGGAGCCAGGGAATGCTCCACTGCCCACCCTCAGACACGTGCTCACTTCTGCACCGGGGCTCAGCTGCAAAGGCACTTACGCTCCCTGGCATCTCAGTGCTTTGGAAGGTCTGCTCCACAGATCTTTCCTCTCATGCTAAAGCCGATCTATGAGGTGCCTGCTGTCACAGATCTCCAAGAACAAAACTCGTGTCCTTTCCCAGCTCTCTGCACACCCTACACTGCCGCTTCTCTCTAGTCCCACTTTCTCCAGCAGCTGCCCTTTCCTTTTGCCTTCATTCACTAAACACAAAACCTCTGGTTACTTCTGAATTAAAGAAGGTTGCAGGGCGAGGCTGGGGGCAGGAGAGATGCCAGGAGCTGACTGACCACTTTATCATTCCTCCTATCTGACTTCTGCTACAGCAATGTCACGAGACTGCCAGAGCCTCCCAGATACACGAAGCCCTACCAAACAAGCAGGCTTTTGCAATCGTCCCTCTGGCACAGCTTTAACTCTTAACCAATTTGACAACATTGCTCCAACACCATGCGCTGCTTTGAAGCTCCTTTTTTTGTGTGGCAGTGCTCCTTGTCAGAACGCAAAGGCTTGCTGCAAAGCCAGTGAGCAAACTAATACCAAGACAAAGAAAAGGGCACTGCTTTCCAAAATACCAGATTCGACACCTGCAGGGTTAATGGGGGACCAAGGTTTCTTACTGAAACACAAGTGCAGGTTGACCCCATCACAAGAAATGCTCATCAGATCAAGGGATCTTCACCATTAAACATATGAGATCATTCCATTTTACAAGACACTGCTGGGCTTCATCAGGAGAGGAGGGGGAGAGGAAATTTCCCAGCCCCGTACCGCTGTGCGATTTGGCTTGCACTGCCCCCTTCGGTAGCGCAGCCCTGGAGCTCACATACTAATAAAGATCCCTTTCCACTTCAATAGCTTTGCACATAAAGAAACGCCGGCATGGTGTGTGCGTGAACTCAATGGGAAAGGGAGCTGGAACGTAGCCATGCTGAGAACAGCGTGCTGCCTACCCGGCGAGCCCCATTAATAATTGAGATGTCAGAGGCACAGGGAGGTGCGTGAATAAGGGCTGTCAAAAGGAGTAATTGGGATCTGCGTGGATACAGTGATGGATAGGCTCGCTTGCCGCCAACACAATTGCAATACACCCAAACAGAAGAGGAGCAGGGCGCTGAAATTCAAAGGGGCTGGGGCAGACTGTTTGATGGGCAGGATGTTGTTGCCGCCATGGAGGGGACTATTGCACCTCAGGTACCAAGCAGGTGTGGGCACGCTACCCCGTGACTGGTCAGTGGAGCAAGAGAATGTACTCACAGCACATGGCTGATCCTTGGTAGTGTTTGGTGGCACGTACCGCAGGCTCCACCTCCTTGAGGAAAGTCATCTCCTGCCCACAGTGGTCACTGGGCACTGACAGCTGTGAGCACGTAACACTTGTTTGTGCAATGGCTCCACTCTGCGGATTAATAACATCCACCCACTCTCTATTCCTACAACCTTAAATCCAGTAGAGGATGCAGTTGGCTGCAGGTAGGATGCTCCTTGCTCCTCCTTCCTCCATCCATCAGACACTGACATACATCTGCACCCAGGTGTTCCCATGCACCCCACCGACAGTGGTGAGCAGACACCAAACCAGTGCACAGACATGGACAGACACAAGACACCAGCAAATGTAGAAGGGCTCAGGGCAGTTGCCCTTCAGAGCACCGACAGCTCTGTGCTGCCTGATCCCTGCAGGGACCCAACACCCTGCTCAAGCAGACAGGCCTTGGTGGGGGGTGTTGGGGAAGCTGCCTACATCTTGGGGAGTCCTCCGCCAAGGCCAGAA